TCTCATGTTTCCTGTTATCTGGGCTCAGAATATTAAAATCACCTTGGATTCTCTCTCTCCATTCCTGTATCCAACAATGCACCGGTTCCTATAGGCTGTTTCTGCAACATGTCCGCTGCTTTTTCTTCCTCACTTCCTTCCCCACCATCCAGGTTTAAGGTCGCATCCGTCCTTGCCTGAAGTACAGCTGGTGAGCTGGACTTCCAGATACGTTTTCCTCACTCCAGCCCATCCTGCATTCCCCTTCTAGACTAAACTTCCTTAAACATCGCTTTTATTATGTCATTTTCCTGCTCAAAAATCTTCACACCTCTCCAGTATTGAATAGCAAATCAAGATTCCTCAATCAAGATTCCGAAATCCTCCTTAACCTGAACTCATGTTGTCCAGTTTACTACCCAGAACAGGTGATCTGGATAAAAAACACCAGGAAACACATGAAAGAATGTTCCAAAAAACACAAATTATAACAACAATGATATTAAAGAGAAAAAGAGGCAATAGTTAAAATAGTATAAATCGTTTGGAGAAATTGTCCACTAGAGATTTTGTTTTGTCTTCCAATCACTACTGTAAACCTTTTTCTCTCTCTTCCAATTGCCAAGATTCCTTCCTTTTCCTCAATTTAATCACACAACTGCCTCTTCTTTCTTTCTTTTTCTTTTTCTTTCTTTCTTTCTTTTTCTTTCTTTCTTTCCATCTTGCCCTTTCTCTCTTTCTTTTTTTCTCTTTCTTTATTTTAGAGAGATTTTTGCTATAGGGTGCTTGTGCTCACCAGAGAGACAGAGAGAGAGAGAAAGTGAGAAATCACCCTGGGGGGTATGGCCATGCCACAATCCTTTCTCCATTCTCCTTTCAGGACTTTGGGCATACATGCACACACAGCTAGCGTGAGTTTCGCATATTTTATACTTTCCAGTGCTTCAAAGTTTTCACTTAAATGATCTCAGTTTATCCTCATAGCGATACCATGAAATAGTCGTATCTGGGGGAGACAACTTCAAGAGATTAAGTGACTCAGCCAAGGTTAGAAAGAAGGGCTCTCATGTTTCCTGTTATCTGGGCTCAGAATATTAAAATCACCTTGGATTCTCTCTCTCCATTCCTGTATCCAACAATGCACCGGTTCCTATAGGCTGTTTCTGCAACATGTCCGCTGCTTTTTCTTCCTCACTTCCTTCCCCACCATCCAGGTTTAAGGTCGCATCCGTCCTTGCCTGAAGTACAGCTGGTGAGCTGGACTTCCAGATACGTTTTCCTCACTCCAGCCCATCCTGCATTCCCCTTCTAGACTAAACTTCCTTAAACATCGCTTTTATTATGTCATTTTCCTGCTCAAAAATCTTCACACCTCTCCAGTATTGAATAGCAAATCAAGATTCCTCAATCAAGATTCCGAAATCCTCCTTAACCTGAACTCATGTTGTCCAGTTTACTACCCAGAACAGGTGATCTGGATAAAAAACACCAGGAAACACATGAAAGAATGTTCCAAAAAACACAAATTATAACAACAATGATATTAAAGAGAAAAAGAGGCAATAGTTAAAATAGTATAAATCGTTTGGAGAAATTGTCCACTAGAGATTTTGTTTTGTCTTCCAATCACTACTGTAAACCTTTTTCTCTCTCTTCCAATTGCCAAGATTCCTTCCTTTTCCTCAATTTAATCACACAACTGCCTCTTCTTTCTTTCTTTTTCTTTTTCTTTCTTTCTTTCTTTTTCTTTCTTTCTTTCCATCTTGCCCTTTCTCTCTTTCTTTTTTTCTCTTTCTTTATTTTAGAGAGATTTTTGCTATAGGGTGCTTGTGCTCACCAGAGAGACAGAGAGAGAGAGAAAGTGAGAAATCACCCTGGGGGGTATGGCCATGCCACAATCCTTTCTCCATTCTCCTTTCAGGACTTTGGGCATACATGCACACACAGCTAGCGTGAGTTTCGAGCCTCTGAGTCTGGGACTTGAACTGCAGTCAGCCATGTGGGAGTCCAGAGCCTTAACCACTATGCCACCTGCTGGCCCCAAGTGCTTCTTATTTAATGCAAAAATGTGTCAGTAAATGATCTAATCTACTTGTCCCTTAATGCTCTACCCTTCCTAATTAAAACAAAATCAATTTCACTGCTCTTATGTAAGGCCAGCTTGGCCACTGGGTCCCCTACCCTCTCACTTCTCCAAGGAACCCTGATCTTGGCCTTATGCCTTCTGTCCTCTGCATCATGAAGTTCTTTCCCTCCCCTCCAGATCATTTCGATCAGCATATAAGCATGCTTTAAGATTTCATATCTTTTAAAATATATATATATACTTTTAATGAATTTACTTAACTTTATTTTAATTTGACCACAGAAGGACAGAGAGAGAGAGAGAGAAAGAGGGAGAGAGAGAAAGTGAGAAAGCAAGCCACCAGATCTGAGACTCGAACCATAGTCGGTCATGTCCAGCACCCTTAACCACCACGCCACCTGCCAGCCACAAAGATTTCATATCTTGAAACACAATTCCTTTCTCAACCTTGTGTTCTCCAGCTATCTCCTTGAAAGAGAACCCCTGCACCATCTCCACTTGGCTACCTCCTACTCTCTCTTCCTGTGGCTTTTACTCCCACAATTCCTGAAAGTGCTCATGGTCAAACCCAGAGGTCAATTGCTTTCCTTCATGGTAGCCTCAGCATCACTGAATAGGGCTGACGGGTCTCTTCTTTGGGAAACTACGTGGTTCTAGGAACCTCCTTCTCCTGGTTTAGGAACATCTTGGAGGCGAGATTACAGGTGTTTGGGTTGTGTGTGTGTGTGTGTGTGTGTGTGTGTGTGTGTGTAACATTTCCTTTTTTATGCTCTCAAACACCTCTCAAATGTTCTATGTTACATATACCTATTAGAATCAGAAAAAAAATATAGGACCAGTCCTGTAGCTCAGCAGTTAAACACTGTGTATTAAAAGCCAGATCCCCCATGGCTAACTGTAGTTTGAATCCCAGCCCTCGAGGCTTGAAAAACATGCCAGGAGTGTGTGCATCCTCACAATCCTGATGATGGGAAGGAGAAACAGGAAAAGGGACTGTGTGTGACCGCACACACACACACGTGCACTCTAGCAATTTAAAAATATAAATAAAGCAATCAGGAGAACTAAACTATTTACACTGACAGAATACAGCCTCAGTCTGATGAGGCCCATTTTATCACTATTACAGAACAAGTACCCAGTGCATATTCATTTCAACATCATGCCTTTTCTCATGCCTTCCCTTCTCTCTTCACCTCTAATAATCCTTCATACCTCAGCTCACGGGCTCCCTCTTCCATGCAGCCCTCCCGAGTACTCCCTTCCTAAGATCTCCCACCTTACGCCAGATTCTGCACATCATTGGGGACACTGCTGTATTTATTCGTTCTCATTTAGTAAACATTTTCTGTTTAGTAATGTGTGTGTGTGTGTGTGTGCATGAGACAAAGAGGATGTGCATGTATGTGTTTGCTATGAAATCATTTTCCCTCCTGAGCTGATAACCATGTCTTAGCTTGGCCCCACAAAGTCTGTAACACAGACAGATGGCAAAGTAAACAAATATTTGGTGATAGTTCTGGATATTAATGCTACCAGGTCTTGAAGCCTTTGGAGTCTGAAAATTCATGGTGCACTTTCCCTGACACCGCCTGAGTACTTAAGCTCACATTCACGGAGCACTTCCTTGGTGCCATGTGCTTCATTCAATTCTGCATTTAGATTGCTTTCTTTTTTATGTTAAGACTGAGGAAGGACCAGCAGTTAGCGTAATGGCTATGTCACTGGACTCCCATGTAGTTGACTGCGGTTCGAGTCCCGGACCCAGTGGCCTAAACTCACGTGGGGCACGTGTGCGTGTGTGCGCAAGATCCCGAGAGGAGAATGGAGGAGAAGGGATTGCAGCATGGCCATGCCCCCTGGGGGATGATTTCTCACTTTCTGTCTCTCTGTCTCTCTCTGTCTTTCCAGCAAGCGCACGTGCCCTATAGCAAAAACCTCTCAAAAAAAAGACAGGAAACTGGGACCAGCAGGTGGCATGGTGGTTAAGGCTTTGGACTCCCACACAGCCAACTGCCATACAAATTCTGGACTTGGTGACCCAACAATCACAACAAATAAATAGATAAATAAATAAACTTGTTTTTCTTTAAAAAAAAAAAAAAGGGATCAAGGAAACTGAATCTTGGAAAGGTTAAGTATCTTGCCTAAAGCAACAAAGCGTCAAGTGTAAGGCATGGATTCAAACAGAGCCCAAGTGCTACACCACGCTACACTTGCTCGCCAGGCTCCACATGAAGGAAATGTGGTTTTCTTTGACTCACATGCCACAAATGTGCTTTCAGTCAAACTGCATGCTCTTGGCCAAGAGACTCGCCCTCACGGATCCGTTAAAGAGATAATAGTACCTGCCAAGGTGGTTGTGCACGCCGGCAGGTGAACAGTGTGTCACGTAGGGCCCAGCACGTAGTGGCACTGAGTCCCTGGTAGCTGATGTTACATCAGCTACCTTCTTGATATCTGCAGCTTTTCTTTTTTAAGTTTATTTATTTATTTCATGAGGGAGAGAGAGAGCGAGAGCCCCTTAAAGTTTCTGGACATGGTAATCCGCTCCCAGCCTTTAGCCAGCCCTGGATCACGAGTGAGTACATGCCCAGCACACTCAGGAAGGTCTCCAGACTTGAACCAGGAAGCTTCCCATGTGGGGTTGCCTTTCAGAGTACAGCCTTCTCCCACTGTTCCACTGCCCGGCTAATATCTGCAGCTTTCAAGCTGGGTATGGCATTTCTTTCTCCAAAGCTGGGGTCACCGTTCTGCCGAGGGGTGAAGGCACTCTTCGAAAGCCGCATGGAGAGGAAACCAAAGAGCAGCCCTGCCCCAGGTTAACTAGTCGATTTCCTCACCTGGATGCGGAAGGATAGGAAGAAGGTTGTGTTAGTCGCTGTTTTCTATTTGTCATTCGGGCCCACTAATCTAAACATCTCTCACTCCCCAGGAATTATTTTAGGACCAGGAAGCAGCACGCTGTTTATTGAAAGAGTCACAGAAGAGGATGAAGGCGTCTACCACTGCAGAGCCTCCAACCAGAAGGGCTGGGCGGAAAGCTCAGCATACCTCACTGTTCAAGGTAAACAGCTGCTTAAGCAAGCGA